GGGAGAGTTGTGAGGTTCGAACTCCAGCAACCTGAGGCTGACAGCTTTGTGGAAGCAGCCACTTAAAGGACTGAGCTAGGGCCAGGCCCCCCAACTAGACTTTTTTAAAAACCAGTTTTTAGGTCCATAGACATGTTTATTAACATTTTATAACTTGAACATTGTATTATATTAGAACCATGACATTTTGCCCCTGGACACTGCCCACCCCAAGACCCATGCACATCTCTTTATGTAAAAGGAATTTTAGTCTATCTAATTGTAAAAGTCTTAACAGTTTTGGCGTTGCTAAAAAGTTTAAGTCTAAAGTCTCCTCTAAGATCTAACGCAAACTCTTAGCTGTGAGCCCTTGTACAAATGAAAAATTAAACATTTTTAACATTTAGTGGCACAAGAAAAACATCATTTTAAAAGATATAAGCAGCAGGACATAAGGCATTGGGACCAAAGCATGTCTAAAATCTAGAAGGGCAAACATTAAGTCTGCTAGTTCTATGTGGAATATCTAAAGCAACCTGTAGTGAGTTGTGAGCTCTTAAAGCCTTATATGGCTCCACCCCTACCTTCTGTTGGTACCTCCCATGGCTTTTTTTTTTTTTTTTTTTTTTTTTTTTTTTTTTTTTTTTTGCCTGTTTTGCTCCCTTTCGTAGCTTTTCTTAGACAATGTACGGTCTGGCTTTTTTAACCTTTTGAAGTTTTTATTGAATAGGCTTTCTACTTACACCTTTATATACTGCCCTCTCAGGGGCACATTTCCTGGCCTCCCAGACCCTTTGAAATCTAGGTGGAAGCCTTTTTAACCTTAGAACTCTTGCATTTTGAATGCACCTAAAGCCAAATGCACGTGGATGACGTCAAGGGCAGTTGCCAGCTGGAGCGGTAGCCAGGCTTTTTTGTTGTTGTTGTTGCTGCAGGGGTAAAGTGCCTGGATTGCTGAGCACTGTGACCCTGATTTTGAGGAACAAATTGTTTATATCGCTGTCATTTTGAACCTGGTGTGGCTGCTGTCTCTATTTTGGAACATGGGGCTTTGTGACTTTTTTCTTAAAGCCAAGATTCTCACCCTTGTGATTTTGAGGCTATGAAGGGCGAGAACTTGTCATCCAGTACTAAGGACCTCTGTCCTGGGGTCCCACACTTGAATTTCTCCCATAAGACAAATGCTTTCTACAATAATTTTTCTAAGAAACTAATAGTTATCTGTCACTCTGGTACTGAGTTGGCATTAGTGTAAACTATAAACATCAACTCTTTCATGGCACCTATTAGTGTCTAAAAAACTCTGTAACTTAACTAATACTATGCTTATTTTTATGTCATCGAGGTTTAGACTATAGGACCTACCTGGGCAGCAATCTTCGTTCTGTTT